AAGCTGATTGGGTTGCTCTTGAGGCAAGGAGAAAACACCTAAAAGTGTGAGATCTTGGCCAAAGACCTAGAGGGCAGGTGAGGATTGGGAACCAAAACAGCGCCATCAGTGTGGAGAAGCACAGAATTTTAGGGAAAAGGTTTGGAAAAGACCTCTGCCCTTTCTGTGGTGCTAATCTCTGCAGACTACATACAGTTGATAGCCCAGGTCAAGGCAGTGTGGATTCACAACCAGTCCACATCAGTTCCATCTCTGCCTCACGTCTTCTATGTAGAGTTCCTAGCACAGTGCCTGACTTAGCAAGTACTGTACATGTGCTAGCCTTTACTCAATTATACCACATAATTTGTGTTATATATATTGTACGATGAGAAGCACACCCGAACTGAGATCACATTTACTACAATAAAGCAATTACTGGAGAAACCCCAGGGCCTCCACTGAGCTACATCCCCAGCTGGTTTTTATATTGAGACAGTCCGGCTGAGTTGCTCAGATTGCCAGGCTGGGGCTGGGGATTTAGCTCTGGTTCCACTGCCTTCCCTGCAAGTGCAGGGATCTGAGTTCGATCCCCGGTACCCAAAAAAAATACTGCCAGGCTGGGCTTGAATCTGTGATCCTCTGCTTTAGTCTCCCACAGTGCCGGTACTACAGGTTTGTGCCACCAGGACCAGCAGTAGTTACGATTTAATACTGTAACTTTACGTTTGTATTTCTCTGTACTGAATTGCACCATGTACAGTAAGTTTTTATGAGTTTTGATAATTTTTAACTTTTTATGAGTTGTATATATTTATAGTAGTAAATGATAAAATAGGTCATATTTTATGCATTCATGGCATACTGAATTGTTCTGTATTTCTAGGCTATACAGTTAATTTGTGAGCTTTTTTCAAATTGTCAAATTTTTTTTTAAAAATCCATGTATAAGTGGCTTCATGCAGTTGCACCCTAGGTCAAGGGTCAGTTGTACTTAAGCATGTACCTTCTTGGATACCATTAATAGCCAACCTTGTGGTAATGGCTTCTCCTCATCCTGACTGTAGGGGCCCCGACCACAGTAGCCGTGCTTTCTACTTCTACTGGAAGATAGACATAGACTTCAGCCGTTTACTGAGCCTTATTCCAGTTTCTATTTAGTTACTGTACTGAGCTCTAATGTTGGCTCTGTATATTTTAAGGTAGAACCTGCCACCGTCAGCAGAAAAACATTTAACATTGAGGGTCAATGTTTTCAATCTCAAAAATCATTTTTTTTTTACTATTTTCTTCCTCTGGGGTGTATTTTGATACTATTTTTATCTACCAAACTTTACTGTTACTAATTGAAGCTACATAAGCAGCAGGATAGTGGTGAGAATCAGATAATTGTTATACTCCCAGAGCTCCTGTAGGGTAAATTCCATTATTAACCACAGTTGACAACAGTCTACCAGGGGAAAAGGGTTTGAGAAATGTAGGACTTTCAAGACATTCACTTCTGATTTGCGAGCAAGTAACCTGAGACACTAGGTTGGAAATGACTTAACTTGATTTTAGCCCCAGTTCTGAAATTCAAATGAAATCATTCCTCTGCTGATCAGCCCCATATTGTACTAACAGCTTGGCCTTGCCAGATGCAGCTGGGCCTTTGTCCACCAAGTAGGAAGTGCCACTTCGGTAGATCATCCTGCCCTCACTGGTGCATCACCCACTGCTGCCCCCATGAGCAGCCTGTGTCTGCATCCCTTTGCGTGGTAAGCAAGAGAAATGAGTGCTAAGTTGCGTAGAAGGCAGAGCTCCTCTGATCTTCAAGGGTGTTTTTGCTTTTCGAAGGGAAGGGAAGGGAGTGTAGGCACTGCAATAAGCCTGCTTTCCTCCTAGGAGGGCCCAGAGGAGATGGATCTTTTGCTCACTTTTCCCCTCAACATACTAGGAAAACAGCAAGATTCACTGGGTGCAGGACACCCCCTTTTGTGTTTGAATCATTTTATGAGTAATTTACAGAGTAATATAAAGTGGTAGAAATAATCATAAATTTGAGCAGGTATTCAAAAGTATTCAAATTTTAAATATTCAGGTTTTAATAAGTACTAATCACATAACCAAGTATCCTAAAAACTTCAGGGTTTATTATTTTTTAAACTCATCTTTTTTTTTTTTTCTTTTTTTGATACTGGGAATCGAACTCAGAGCCTTTTGTTTGCCAGGCAGGTGCTATGCTACTGAGCTACATCCCCAGCTGAATTTACCTTTTAAATGGATGAATTTTATCTCCATAAAGTTGTCAATCTATGAAAATACATGTGTGAATATATAAGTTAAAACAGCAAACAATCTCCTTGTCTTGAAGGTAATGTACACCCAAAATAAGCACTGTCCCTTGAATGTAATAAAATACTCAACTGCCACACAACATAGTCATCTCGTACCTGATTCCAGGTTTCAAATACACCCCTGATAGGCTCCAGTTAATCCCTGCTTCTGATTTTTGTTTGTTATTCACTTGGAAAATTTTGATGACTAATTTTGTTGAGATGCCAGCCATTTTCTTCACTCCATAATTATGTCATTTAATTTTTAGATTTACAAAGGTAATTACAATGACCAATCCATAGATTTAAAAAAACTTTTCTAGAGTACATTTGTCCTGACTACCTTTGTGGACACCTGCCTTCACGTGTCCCTACCTACAAACTGTCATATATGGTGTTGCCTAAGCACTATACAGATGAAAGAATGTTGTCACAACACCCTTTAGCAAAACAAGATGATCCATGTTTTGCTTTGTGACTGCATTCATTTTCTCCTTTGCTAAGTGTGAAGTGATCGCTTACCAGTTTTTTGGGGTTTTTTTCCTTTGTCATGGGTGGAAAATGAGAGACTTGAATTTCTTTTTTTTTTTGGAAGAACTGTTGACCTGCCAGGCAGCATGTCACTTTGTGCCACCAAGGTTTAAATTCTTAAATGATGTTTTCAGACTTCTGAAAGATGATAGAATACTTTGGAAAATACAACAGGGAAACTGAAGAATGATGTAATAGTGATGGTCTGTTTGATGACTGTCTTCTATCTAGGCAACACAGACATTCTTCCGTTTCTTACTAAGTTTTGTCTAGCGTAGTTGGAAGATACTGAAAGGAAGTAATTTTTAGGGTAGTGTGGTGGAAATTGTTCTAGAGAAAAAATTAGTTCATCAAGATCTCAAAATATGTTTTAGATTTATGAAAGAATCCAGTGAATACATTGCTAATTGCAAGATAGACTGATTTTCACTCTTTAAAAATATAAGTAAATTTTCTCATTGTCCTAAGGAATCATAGTCATTAAATACTCAGTTCTTAGAACTGCTCAGAAAATATTCTCAAAACTAGATTTAGGTCCAGTGGCTTCTGATGTTATACCATGAATTAAGCCTCTTCTCAGCTAGGAAGTGGATGGCAAACCTGTGGCTAAGGGGTCCGTTCAGGATGTATGGTGTGGCTTCCTGGAGAATAACAGGCCATCCCATTCAGGAGGCAGTTTGGAGGTCCGAGGGGCAGTGGACTAGAAGCCACTATGGAAGCCCTCCATAGATAGTCCTTCTGTCTTACCAGTAGTCTTAGGAGACAAGAACACACAGGAGTGTTACTTTGGCTTATGTTCCAGTGAGCTTCCCTCATTGATTTAACATTCTGCCAGCCTGAACTGTCCCATTGCCCCATGGGACAGTCATGCATATAGTACCAAACTGCCTTACCTCTTCTGCCAGATGAGTCAACCAGCAATGAGAAGAATTACGGCCCTGCCATGAATGTGTTACACCATGTCTCCCTGCAGCCAGCTGGAGACCCCTAAGGGTAGGGATATAGCCCATCAGGCCAGGATTTCTCATGGTGGAAATGATAGTAGCGTCTATGTAACAACTGTGCTACACTGAACAGCCTCAGCTTAGCTAAGCCTGGGTGAGGCAAAATAGAGATTGCAGGCTTTGGAAGCAGTTGGGAGTCATAATTGAATCCTGGCACTGCCACTGCTTACCATCCCAGTGACCTTAAGCAAAAAACTTTACAACTGCTGAGTCTTCATTTGTGAGGGCAGAGGCATATGACAGTAGTGGCCTACCTCACCGGTATTAAGAGATACAAATTCAGGAAATTTGATTTAATGTATTCAGCAACTGGCCTTATTTCAGGCACTGAGGGACACAGGTAAAGCTGACACCTTTCCTACCTTAAGGGCATCCTGTGAGTGTTGGAAGATTACAGGTATCACATAGAAGGGACTGGCTATATGCTGGGTGACAGAAGAAGGGCAGTGGATAAGGAAGGGGCACAACAGAAGTAGACAACTCAGATACAGGACATTGAGTGTGCCCAGGGAGACAGGAAAAAACAGCATCTGCACAAAAGAGGATTTGGGACACAGCATAGGGGAAGTAGGGTATTTAGCCTGGCACACAGACGTGTCCAGCCCAGATGAGATGCCCATATCCTTGGAAAAAGCTTGCCCTGAATGTGTCCCCATCTTTTTCCTGTGTAGGAAAGTAATCTGGTGCCTTTGCTTTGTCCTGAGTGCTACTCATGGGGTGGGACAGGCGGGTTCAGTGGGGTTGGGCCTCCACCCACCTCCCTCCCACTGCTGCCATTATCAGCTGTGCCCAGATGGTCACAGGCTCCCTAATCTGGGATAATCGATGGGTTGTAGCTCAGCTGGGACCTGGGCCTTTGTGCCTGGCTGTGATGGACCAACCCCAGCTGGAGAGACCATGCAGACAGGGCCCTGGGGCTTTGGAAGATGGGGAGGGCTGTGGTGCTGGCCTTGGGTTGGAGAGAGATGCCAGGAGCAGATGAGACTCCTCTTCAAAAGGCAATCTGAGTGCAAATGAGCGGGCCCCTGCAGATGGCCTAAGCCAGAGCCTTCAGGCCACAGCAGACCCGAATGGCTCAACCTCAGAATCTGGTGTGTTTTGTTCCCTTCTGAACTCACCCCTTCCTATACAGTTTTGTCACTGCCCCTAGAGCTCCAGGCTACATTATAAGTGTTTATAATGGCATCTCTGGCTTATTTCTCACATTGATGTTGGGGATCTGGCAGGTCTAGGTACACAGCCAGGGTGGCTAGGTTCTTAGAGGCTTATGGCTCTGTCACACTCCACCCAGCATGAAATACTTGTTTTAAAAAAAAAAAAAAAAATGTCCATATTGCTCTTTTAAAGTAAATGAGGTAATGGGCATGCTATGGCTGAATGTTGGTGTCCCTCCAAAATTTGTATGTTGTTACCTAACACATGATGTGGTAGTATTAAGAGGTGAGGCCTTTGGGAGGATGTGATTAGGTTATTTCAGAAATGTGGGCAGAGCCCTCTTAGATGCATACTCTTAAAAAAGGCTGATGGGAGCTGCCTTGCCCCCTTCTGCCAGGTGGGTACACAGCAAAAAGTACTGCTTACAAAGCGTAGCCCTTAGGCAGTGATCTGGGACTGGCAAGCCTCTAAAATTGTAAAAAATAAATTTCTGTTCAAAAACTACTCAGTCTAAGGTATTTTATTACAGCAGCCCACACAGACTATGATGGTAGGAAAGCATTCTGTGAACATTAAAAGCTGGGAGCAGATACTGAGGATTGCTTCTCCAGGCAAAGTGGGGCTGAACTGGGACACAGACCCAAAGTTTGAGCAAGGTTTTGTTTCTACAGGAAAGGGGTCAATAAGTTATGGGGCTGTTTGCAGGAAGAAGGGAGCAGAATGGTGTGCTTCAGTTCTCCCCACCTCCTGGCTCTGGACGTCCCTGTCTTAGTCACCTGCCTAGGCTCTGGACAATGGTGACACAGCCATGGGAACTGGTGCAGCGCTGCAGGGATGGCTGGGCTTCCACCTGCCCACTGGTGGGGTCAAAGGTGAAGACTCTATTGGTGCTTTCCCCATGATCATCCCGCCCACCAAGGATGTGGACCTTCCCGTCACACACAGTCACTCCGCAGCTCTCCTGAGGGAACAAAGAGAAAGGTACATCAACTCTGTGGTCCAGCTTGAGGCCTACCTGGCCACACCAGATAGTAGAACCTTGTCTTACAAACTGCAGACAGGGAGTCTGGATGGCAGGACCAGAGACTGGGTGGACCTGAGGTTAAACTCTAGCTTGACCCTTTAATAAATGGATGGCCCCTTTGAAGCAGTTTATGTGCTCTGGGACTTAAGTCTGCTCATCTGCAAAGTTTAAAGGATAACAGTACCTTCTTTATAGGGTTCTCATCACAGCTGATGATAGGGTTAAGTATGTAAAACATTGTACATAGTGCCTGAAATAGACTACTCTTGGTCTTAGTTAAAAGGCTGAATCTATAATGCCTGGAATGTAGTCAGCATATAGTTAACAATAATGATCCCTACCACCACCATCTTAGGATCTCAGACTCAAAAGCCAGAAATCTCAGGCCCTTGGGAACACTGAACATCAGAACTGGCAAGGAGGACCTCCAGTCCAACCACATCTCTACCTAGTCTCTCTGGGGTAAGTCAAGGTAAGGAAGGAAAGGAACTATTGGAGCCAGAGACTTGAGGACCTGAGCTTCCTGTCTGCCCTCACTGGGTGGGGCTGAGAAATATAGCAGGGTCTTTCCCCATCACCAATTGCACAGTAAGTTACCACATGGTGGCCTTTAGGGAAGGAGAAACTGCAAACCCCCACTCAAGGCTATAGCACTTGGGATTCTAGGTTCTGGTTTAATATGGCCTAACTGGTGACCTTGGGCCAACCTCTCTAAGGCCAATTATCATTAAGGACAAAGCTAGAGAACTATGTAAAGTCTGCTAGCATTAAGTCATGCAAGACCCACTCCTTCCAAGATCCAGGGCCTTAGAGTGGGTTTGCTGTCCTGAATGGACCAGTGCCTGGGCCATGCTCTGGAGCCTCTACTTACCACAGGGCTGGGGAGGACAGCTGCTTCCCCCCAGACATCTGTGCCAGGGTCATAGGTGAAGATTTTGTTCATGAGGCCCCCCACCACATAAATGGTGTCCTCAAGGGAAACAGCCTCAAGACACCGCTGTGAGAAGGGTGCTGGCGAACGCAGGCTCCACTGGTCTTCCTTGGGGTCAAAGCACTGCACCTGGGGGCAGGAAGGCAGTGATGGTGAAGCCTGGATCCCCAGCTGCCCTGCTGCCCATCTCCTGCCACCTCTTTCCCCAATACCACCAGTGTCTACCAGGCCTGAGCTAGTGTCTGAGTCAGAGAGGAGACCTACTGTCCCTGCCCTGAGGTACTCAACCTAGGTTCTGTTTTTTGTCTCTAGCCTCTGGATGCCCTTTGTAAAAAGCCTTATTTTTCTTTTTTGTTTGGTACCCAGGGATTGAACTCAGGACCTTGTGATTTCGAGGCAGGGGTGGTGCCACTGAGCTAAATCCCCGGCCCATGCCTCCTCATTTTTCAAAGTCCAGCTCAAATGCTGCCCCATTTTAAAGCCTTTCCTGGTGTGTCCACCCCTCCTTCCCCACTGCAACAACAGTCTCTCCTTTGATGGAGGATCATAGAGCCACCTCATATGAGATTAATCATTGGAGCACACAGCAAGCTGGGAGAGATAACGTGACCTGGGATATGGAGGTGCTCTCTGGATGTCCCCCGTCAAGAAGCATTCCTGGCTGTGTGCAATGTCAGTGTCCTTCTCTCCTGGTGCTTGGGGTCATGACTCCATTCCAGCTGAGATGTAGTTACACAGCTGTTCACAGGCCTCTAGGCTCATGGGTGTTTATGATGCCCTGAACTCTTTTCTGATGGTGCTTACCTTGCTTGGCTGCATGCTCACCTTTGCTCCCTGCTTCAATTTTTTCCTTGGAGACCGCCCCCCTCCCCGGAATGGCCTATAACAGATCAGTCCTGTGTGGGATGGTGCGAAATGGGGCCCCCACCACTGGTGGCCCAAATCCAGCTCTAGGAAGGTTGGCTGGAGAAATGAGGTCAGAGAATAAGGAGGGGTGAGGAATCCTAATTTGCAGAAGATTTGGGTTCCAGGACCACAAGTAGGGAAGAAGGAAGAAGCTGCCATGAAGATTAATTTCTATTCATAAAAGCTTAATTGTCTGACACGAGATTAGCAGACTACAGTTCATCTACCCAGTGGAATATTACAGACACTGAAATGATCACTATGAAGTTCAAATATATGCAGAAAGTGCTTATAAATGAGACTAGAAAGCACAATACAAAATTTTAAAGCAAGAACATACAATTAAAACAGAAAAAGCCAGGCGTGGTAGCACACGCCTGTACTCCCAGCACTGGAGGCTTCCAGTTCAAGGCCAGCCTGAACTATAAAATGAGAACTTGTTCCCCCCGAAAAAAAAGAAAAAGTGGAAATCAATTCAGTGGAACCCTGAAAGGCAATGTACCAAAATGTTTATAGTAGTTACCCTTAGATGGTGGGAGAATGGAGTCTATGGATGAATTTTTTATTTCTAAATTTTCAAAAAAGCAATTTTTTTTTTGGTACCAGGGATTGAACTCGGGTCCTTGCTCTTGCAAGGCAGGCGGCAGAACCACTGAGCTAAATCCCTGGCAAAAATGAGCATTTTTTTGAATGCAGGAAAAAAGTTTTTTTGGAGGAAAAACTTTAATCCTACCCTTTCTCTTGCTTAGTTTTAAAAGTCTATGAGGGGCCAGGGATTTAGCTCAGGGGTTCCACCGCTTGCCTCGCAACCGCAAGGATCCGAGTTCAATACCTAGTACTAAAAAAAAAAAAAAAAGAAGACTATGAGACCCCATATGGATGGCACTGGCCCAAACATGGGAGTCCAGAAGTGCTGTTGGCCCACTGTGAACTTAAGGCCATTTCTCTGAATTCATTTCCTTGCCTAAAACCTGGGGGTGACTCCTTGTCTCTGAAAATGGGAATAAAGAAAAGGAAGAAAATTAAAAAGAAAATTAAAGAAAAATTAATTAAGTTAAATTAAAATAATTAATTTAATTAAATTAGGATAAAGAAAATTAAAATAAAAAATTAAAGAAGGAGGAAGGAAGGAAACTAATTGCCCAGGTCTACGCCTAGCGCACAGTAGGCGCGTCTGTTTGTCAGCAGCCTCCAGTGCCCCTTCTGCACCCCCAGGCCTGTGCCCACCTTGTTGGTGTTGACACCATCCTGCCTTGCGCCCCCAATCACGAAGAGCTGGCCCACGCAGGGCGCCACCGCCGCAGAGCTCACGGCCTCCAGCAGGGGCGCAGTGGCCACCCAGGTGTTGGAGAAGGGGTCGTAGCGCTCCACGCTGCTCAGCCGCCTCAGGCCATCGAAGCCGCCCACTGCGAACAGCTGCGGGTGAGGACACAAGCAGAGAGGCACTGGGAGTCAGGGCCATAGGCATCTTCTTGGCACCTCTGCTCCAGTCTGCAAGCATAGAAACTATCTCTACACTTGCTTCGGGACCAAAACCACCCCGGGAGCATTCCAGCATTGCCGCACCTGGGTGGTCACTACCCAATTACAGAACCCCCCTCAGCTGCTTCCTCTGCTTAGCCAGAGATAAAGAGGCCAGTCCCTAAAATGGGTACTGAATGTGGATTAAATCTGTAAATACCTGGGACCAAGCTGATAGTTAATAACAGCTAATAGTTTTTATTAAGGGTTTACCACCCCACTAATTGATTCTAAGAAACACTTTGTGTTGCTGAATTCAGGATGTAGGACACAAAGATAATCAGAATTCTTTGTCCTAAGTGGCACTGAAGATTCAAACCTGGACTATTTGGCCCGAGAGCCCACACCCTTAACCACGACTAGGCTGTACTAGGCTGTAATAAATGGCTGTTACTGTTAGCATTAGCGTTATTATTTCATCTTGGGAAAGTCCTTTTCCTCTTTTTGGGCTTCACATTCCTTCTTACAAAGAGAGGGTCTTAGAGGGACTTCCCCCAGGACATATCCGCCCTAAACCTGTGCCTCTGATCTAGGGCAGTGGCTGTTGAGTGTGCCTACCTGCCCCTGCACTGCCGCCATCTTGTGTCTCCACCTGCCCTTGTGCAGCGAGGCTACCTTGATCCAGGTGTGCAGATGGGAGCTAAACATCCACACATCCCGGCTGTTGATGTGGCCTCCTAGAGAGAGAGAAGCAGCTGTTGTCCCCAGACCCTCTTGCTATCACCAGCACACCCAAAGCAGCCAGAAACACAGGCCCCAAATCCAAAGGCGGGGTTAAGAACAGGATTTTTCCTTGGGCTGGTGTAAGACTGGGCCTGTGATGCAGCCACTACTATGAATGAGAGAAAAAAATCATCTGAGGGGTTTTGAGGGACAGGGCTGCCAGTTTCAGGCAGGAGCTGATCTTCACTGGGTATTTTGTGGTGGGTGCTGCCTCTGTGCTCAGGGAAGGGTATCTGTGCTTGGGGGTGGGTGTCTACTATGATACAAATAAGTGCAAAAGGTACCCAAGACAAGCATCAGGAATGTTCTGGGGTCAAGGGAAAGCTAAGCCATCATCTGCACAGGAATGGGGGAGGAATACAGGGTGACCAGTAATCTACACTTCTGTTTCCACCTTCATGATTTCATTTCTGGGCCCACCCCTTCATGAAGTATTGGGATTACTACCGCCGGGCATGGTGGCGAACATCTATAATCCCAGCACTTGGGAGGCTGAGGCAGGGGGATCACTGGAAGGTGGAGGCCAGCCTAGGCTACATAGTGAGTTCAAGGCCAGCCTGAACTACATAGTGAGACCCTGTCTCAAAAATAAAAATAAAAAAAATTTTAAATGGGGCCAGGGATTTAGCTCAGTGGTTCCAGCGCCAATCTTGCAAGTGAAAGGTCCCAAGTTCCATCCCTGGTACCTCCCCCCAAAATATTTTAAATGAAGTATTAGGATTACTATACACAGATTTCATATAGGAAACCTGAGACCATTAATGACCTGAAGACCACATGGCCTTTTATCAGAGCAAAGACCAGAATCTTACGCCCTGAAGTCCAATACTGGTGCTGGCGAAGGACACAACATACCACACCAGTGATTGGCTCTCCAAGACTATATACCATTTCAACCAATAACTGTAGGTTCTCAGGAGTCCCGCCCCTATCTGATTGGAGGGGAAATAAATAGTGTGCTGGGGTGGTGGTGGTGATGCGCCAATCCCATGGGGCTCCTGCTGTGGTCCCACCCTCACCAGAAACGTAGACGTCATTGCGAAGAGCGCAGGCAGCGAACTCCAAGCGTGTGTAACCAGGCAGGCTGGGCAGAGGGGTCCAGCGCTGGCTCTCTGGGTGGTAAGCATCAGCAAAAGGCAGCTTCAAGAGACCTTTGCGGTCACAACCACCGATGACCACAATCACTTCAGCAAGATCCATGAATCTGATGTGGGAATAAACTCAGTACCTATTGACCTGCACCCAAGTGTGGCCTTTTTTTCACCCCCTTGATGACGATACTATACAATCTTGTTGCCCTTCCACATCCTTCTGCCTAACTACCCCCAATTCTTATCACTTCCAACCTTCCCTCTGGTTACTAATAATAAGGTCACTAATTCTTACTCCATTGTATGTATGTACCTCTAAGTTACAGAAAAAAGAAAAATTTTTTTCTGGTACAGGGGATCAAACTCAGGACCTTGGTTCCACCACCTGCCTCGCAAGCACAAGGCCCGGAGTTCGATCCCCAGGACCAAAAACAAACAACCAGACCAACCAAACAAACTCAGGACTTCGCATTTTCGAGGCACACATGGTGTCACTGAGCTAATCTCTGGCCCAGAAAAATTTTTTTAAAAAGCCCTTACCTAGAAAAATCACCTCATTTGGGGCCGGCGATTTAGCTCATTGGCACCACGCTTCAATCCCCCATAAGAAAACAAACAAAAAACCTCCCCCAACACAAAACACAAATAAACAAAATTACATTAATCCTTATGTGCATTCTATTAGGTAAGTCCTATTACCTCTTTTACAGAGGTGAAAACTGAGGCTCACAGATCATGGCTTGCCAAAAATCATGCCCAGGAATTTTTTCCCCTTCTGATCCTCATGAGTGGTAGGCAAGCCCTCTACCACTAAGGGGCATGTCCCCCACTCCTCTTTTGTTTTCAATTTTTTTTTTTTTTTTTTTTGGTACCGGGGATTGAACTTGGTAATTTTCATTTTTGATCTTGCTAAATCAACCAGGTTGCCTTGAACATTCGATCCTCCTGTCTCAGCCTTCCCACTAGCTGGGATTACAGGCGTGTGCCATCCCATTTGGTCACGCTGTTTTGTCTGATGAATCAACCCTCTTCATGGCATTTTTCTGACCTCCATCACCAATTGCTAATTCTGCTGCCTCCCTTTTATATCCATTTCCTAAAGCCATCCCTTAATCATTAATTCCTCTGAACAGGGCTATTCACCCTTTCTGTAAAGCATCCCCCACACCCTCCAGTCTTCTGACCTCACCAGATTCTCCAAACCTTTTAGCCAGCAGTTTCCTAGTTTCTTCAATAAATAGCATATTCTTCGCCCCAGGCCCTGTGCTTAGTGTCAGAGATACAGTGGTTAAGACAGTGTCATCTCTGTCTTCTGTCCCTGGGTGATGACGACCAATTTGGATTATCCCACTCATTGTTTGCTGTCTCGAGTTTCAGAGGTGGAATAGTCGTCTCATTTCTCCCCCTATCCTTTCCTAACTATATCCCTTACTAGTCTGTGAGCTCCCCGAGAGCAGGTGTCTGCAAATCACTCGCTCCAGGACCTGCACAGAGCACTCAAATTATAGGTAACAATAAGAGAGGGAGCTTGTGCCAGGTGTGGAATCTCTCAAGGGCAGGAAGAACTCCCAGGACCAAGCTTATGCTATATTGAATAGATGACTGAATTTCACTGAAGCAGTGCGACTAAGCGAATTAAGAGACGGTGACGGAGTGGGTAGGTGGTTGAATAACTGTAGGGCTGGTGGAGGGCGGCTGTACCTCCGCGGCCGGGCCCGCAGTGCGCAGGCCTCTCGGCCCAGGATGAAGCAGGCCCGGGCCTCGAGCAGCAGGGGACGGCACTCGCCGCAACCCTGCAGCAGCTCGTCGGCCTCCACCTTCTCCAGGAAGTATGCCGGTGCCAGCAGAGGCAGGCGCACGTGCTCTAGCAGGCGCCTCAGCTGCCCGCGGCGGGCCGGCGCGTCGTGGCGCACCCAGCGCATGGCAGCCTCGAACACGGCCTCCTCGCGCGCCACGCCCAGTGCGGGGTCAGCTAGCAGCGCCACCACCTCCTCCGGGGGCAGCTCCAGGAAGTCCGTGTGGTGCGCTACCTCGGCAAAGGCCTGGCGCAGCACTCGGCCACAGCTCTCGGCCAGCGAGGCAAGCGAGAAGGCGGCGGCCACGCGCCGCAGGGCCAAGCTGTTGGCGGCGCGCAGGCGGCCCTCGAGGAAGCGCGCGCAGACCCCCCGCAGGCCCGCCACGCCCAGCCGCTCGGCTAGCGCCAGCACCGCAGCCGCCTCTTCCTCGGCGCGCAGGCGCACGCCCGCGCCGTAGACGTAGTCGAGCACCACTGAGAGCGCCGCCGCCGCCGCAGCCCCGGCTGGGTCAGCGCCGGGCCTCTCGGGCGCCACTGTCACCACTGACGGCCCGGCCAGCCCGCGCTCCGGCCAGCCCGCTGTGAACAGGCTGCGGAAGTAGGCGCTGCCTGCGCTCAGTGCGGCGCGGTGGCACGGGAAGTCGCGGCCGCCGGCGCGCAGCACCACGTCGGTGAGGGTGCCGCTCGGCCGGTAAGCGTTGAGGGTCTGCAGGACGCGCTGCGCGTTGCAGGACGCCGCGCACGGCGCCTCGCAGCCCGGCTCCTGCTCCTCCGGCTTCGAGGCCTCCCGCATTCTGCCAGGTAGAGAACACAGACAGCGTCCGGAAATCCTGGCAGGGCCAGATTAAGGGACCAGAGGCCTATCTCATGGCACACCCCTCCCTGTATTCCTTATTTCGTTCATGTTTACATTCGTTCACTTACTCTTCCTTCCATGTATCCATTCCGTCGCCTTCTGGCTGTGATCTAGCCCGTGCCTTATCGCTACCTCCTTCCTCCCCAATTACCTACTTCATTCATATTGCTCTTTTCTTTTCTCCAGACTCGCTAAGCTTTTTCCCATCCGATTCTGCAAGAGACAGATGGTAGGCTCTCAAATAGGGTAATTTGAGGAGTCCAATAAAGGCACGATTTACAACGGTCTAGGCAATATTTAGGAACTCCCTAGAGCGCAGAGCCACGTGGATCAACCACAGGAAGCCTCTATCTCTATACTGTGAGCGGGAAGGCAGGGAGGTTACAAAATACCAGTATAGAGAGGGTCCTGTGACATGTTTTCGGGCCACCCCAGAGTGTCATGCATGTGTGTGTGCATGCATGCATGCATGTAATAACTACTTCCTCTCCATTCTGTCTTCTGCAAACCTCCTTTAGTTCTTCCTCCTGACCAACCCCTGATTCTATTCTGTTCATTCCCCCCCATGCACACACACAAACACACACACACACATACACACACACACACACACACACACACACGGCACAGTCAGTGCTATAGTAGGAGCCCAATACCTATTCAAGGTCGAGTGAACGTATTAGATATTTATTGTGACTTACAGTATTTCTGTTCCAGGCAGTGAGCAAGACAACCATAGTCCCTTAGAGCTTCCCAGGGCTCACAGCCTAGCAGGGGTCTCTTGGGGAGTTATGGAGAATTAAGGGAATTCATAGAAGGGGCAGTAAACCAAGTTGGGGGGAATCAGGGGAGAGGTTCCTAAGAGGGGAGCTTCAAATAGAGAAAGATGGGTAGAATTAGCCAAGTGAAGGCAAGGGAGTGGAGGGAGGCTATCTCCTGCTGCAGGGAAGTGGGAAGAACCAAGCCGTAAGGACCCAGTGGGGTTCTGATCCTCCGCCTCACACCAAGTGACCCCTCTAGGCAAGCCTCTCCCCCTTCCCTGTCCTCTTCTGAAACAGGAACATAATGCCTCTCCCCAGAGTTGTGAATGACATGAATGAAAAGTGCTAGGTGGGTAGTAGTACATGCTGAGTAAATGTTACCTAGCCTTGAGTTTACTCCCATGAAAGAGAGTCCACCATAGTGTGTTGGTTGCTTTTGTTTACGTAATTTAACTTGACCCTCACAACCCTGAGAAGTATCTTTAGTCACATACACACTTTTTTGTTGTGTGGAAACAAGTACACAGAGGGAAGCTGCACTTCAAAGGTTTGCTAGGAGGATCCAAGAAGGGATGTTTGTAGAACACCACAGACTCTAACGGGGTTCCACTGATGGTTAGGATTCAGCCCTGATGAACACAGCCTCTGTTTGCACAATTCCAGGGGCAGGGAGTTCTCTCCATTATGTGCCAATTTACTCCAAGGGAACTCAGTCCCTTGCTTCTCTCCATTCTGATCTCAGCTTCTCAGCCCATTCTGACCTGAAGTCAGCCTGGCTTTCATTGCTCACGCTGGGTCATCTTGGGCAGTGGATTTCCTGCCTCAGCATCAGGATAAATGAGCTCCTCAGTAGACAAAGAGGTCAGCTAATTTTGCCCAAGTAGACAGCTTGGGTTCTGAACCCAGCCAGCTCCAGTCTGTGCATGCTTAACCACTCTGCCACACTTACCAGGGTGAGGCCTGTCCCCAAGGAGCAGCTGGGGACCCAAGGAGGGAGGTGAGACAGGTCATCTGCACATGCCACCTCCAGCTTAGGACACAGGTACACTCTGAGCTGAGATGCAAGAGGGCAGACCTCAACAGCAAAAATAGGGACTTCTCCCACTAAGATGTGGCAGGGCAGGGTGGGGACTTCCTGAGGGGAGGAAGGGAGCCCCCTCCTGGGAAGTGTAACCATACTTATTCATTCTAGTGCTCTCTACAACTTTAGGCACTTTGAACTGTGGACGCAGCCATAGCAACCTGAGACAAAGTTTCCACCTTGGGGATTCCCAGTCTGGGGACTGAAGATCACCCAGTGCCAACATGGAAAGGAAAGGATTCCCAGGTGGAACTGCGTAAAACACACTCCCTAAGAGCCTCAAGCCAATGGTCTTGACGCAGACTGAGACCCAGCTCGTGGAAGCTGACTCAGCGCGCGTAACCACCCCCATTTCTCTTTCATCAGCACTCACATGTATAAACGCTCAGACTTTGGGACACCACACAACCGGCAGCCTGCATACCAAGCCCTGCCCCCAAGTACCTGGCCCTTACCTGGCCACGCCCCTTCTCGGGCTCCGGCGCCGCGGCTCGCGCAGGGACCACTCCCCTCTTGTTTGTGCCTGCTGCCTGCGACGGCCAGCCCGGCTCTAACAATGTCCCTGCCACTCTGCCCAGACTCCCGCTAGGACTCAGTTGAGGGAGGACAAAGGGGCTGGGCGCCAGGGGGAGGGGAGGAAAGGGGAGGAGGAGGGGTGGACTCTGGGCTTTTGTTCTACTCTCGGACCAGTCCCGGGGAGGGAGGGGGCGGTAGTAAGCGTGGGATTGACTGTGTGTGCAGCTCTGCGATCTGGTGTGCCTGGGGATTGGGGACGACCTGGTGCTAGCCTTGTTCCTGAATGAAACAGGTGTGTGGGGGCTGTTTCTGACTTGGGTAGATGGGGTGGTTCTTAGCTTAAGTGTCCCAGGATACCTACTTGTGAATGTGGGAGTGCATGGGGCATAGCGACTGTGTAGCACTGGTGTGGTGTGGTCATGTGGTTGTGTGGCTGAATAACAGTTACGGATTGAGGTTTTCCTCCTTCTATGTGACTGTGCTCTGCTCCTGCTTGACAGGAGACATGTCATTCTGAGACTTTGTGTGACCCTGTCCCTTTGTGTCTCTAGGTGTTTGCTCGTTTTTGTGCCAGGGTTTCATGCCTCCATGGCTTGTGTATCACAGTGGTGTATATATCCACAGGATGTACATGCACGTGTGTATGACGGGTGTCTGCATATGCATGCAAACAGCATGTGGTCCTGTGTCTGAGGTGTGGTGTGCATGGAGGGGTGAGTGTCCCTTGGGTCATAGTGGACAGGGTGTGGGCAGTGATTTGGGTGGAGGAATGAGGCAGCTCTGGGCTGGCCTGGCCTCATGGAAACAGAGAAAGGGGATTCCGTGGGCTGGTGCTGGATCATTTGCTGCCTCCACAAGCTGCCACAGGGCCTGGTATCCATGGGTGGATGAGGGATTTGCCCTTTTGGAAGGGAGCAGTGGTTTGGGGAGGAGCTTGCTTTGACAAGAGCCTGGTTCTTCATCTTGTCATCTTAGGAGGGGTGATAGAGACCCTGGTTGTGCCTATCATTTTGGGTCACTAAGATGTTCAGAAGAGGGTGGGTATAAGCCACATGCCATATGGAGTCACCCTCATGAAGGCCAGGTGTGGTAGGAGTCTGCCCTGGCCAAACCCAGGCAGGTCCACTTTGTGGAAGGAGCTGATGGGAGGGCTCACTGTGATCTTGGCTGGACATGTGTCCTGAGGTCTGGCCAGTCTGTCCCATGAGCCCTGCTCCAGGAATGGTGAACACCTTTATACCCAAAAAGTTTTCTGTGTGGCTGGTTTGTTAAAGGAGGTGAGACTTGGGCACCTTCACATCTATTCATGGGCAGGAGGGACCTGGCAGAAGTGGAAGGTGGGCTCAGCCAGGAGAAGGCCTCACTCTCTGAGGACGGAGGGAGGAGTGGTTTACCAGGATACTTCCCTGTGAAGAGGGCAGTGCACTATCCTCTGCAGACAGGGGAGTCTCAAATGGGCAGCAGGAAGGTGGGGTTTCTAGTAATCCCTCAGGTCATGGGAGAGGAGCTGGGGTGGACCATGGGCTGCAGGTCAATTGAGGATGGGGACACGGTTGCCAGATGTGGCCGGGAGCCTTGGCTACCCTGGCCAGTGGGCCCAGGGGAGCTGATGAGACGGGGAGGAACGGTCATGAAAGGTCTGTCCTCTTTCTTAGTTGGGCTGCCAGAAGCTAGAAAGGAGGTCATTGGGGGAATTTCAGAAAGGGCAGTGTCTGCCCCCGCCCAAGCAGTTCTGGGTTTCACTCATGTCTGTGTCCAAGACAGGTGGGAACTGAGCTCTACCCCAAGAAGGGAAGTGCTTGTGAGATGTTCAGTGGCAAGTAGTGTGAATGCCCTCAGCCCCAAGGGGCTGTCCTAGAGGTTCATGAGGGTGGACCTTTGGAGGTGCCAGCATTTGGAAGAGGGTCTTTTCCTTTCTCCCAAGAAGGTGCCAGAATCTCTCAGACTCCAAGAATTCCATTAAGAAGACCCTGGTTTGGAGAAGAGACAAGACCCTTGGCTACCAGGGATCATGGCAGGTACTAAGTGCAAGGTAGAACAGGGGTTCACCCTCCTGGTTTGCTTTTAGGACACTCCTAAGACATACAGACTCTTAGGACAAAGTAAACCCCTCTGCCCTAGGAAGAGACCTCTCTGGGCTGTAGGCTTGTCTCACCATAGACAGGGGACCTCTGTGGCTGTGAGGACCTGCTGGTCCTATTCCTCAGTCCTGCATCAGACACAGGAGCCCTCCCTGTCTACTGTGTTGTTCCTAGCTAGCTATGGAAGATACTCAGGGGCTGGAGTCAGAATCTGGATAGGATCCTGGCTTTACCTCTTCAATGCTGTGTGGCCCTGGACAGTCACTTTACCTCTCCAAGAGTGTCCTGTCTACCCCAGGCTGTTAGAGAACCTCTGGCATCCTAGCTGACACAGGTTAGGGGCTCCACCATCTTACTGTTTTTCCCATTCCTTTCCCAGAGTGATTCCTTTCCAGTCATAGGGCCAGAACTAACCCTCAAGCCCAACACACTCTGTCCCCACCCTCCTGCTAACAATGCAGACCACACACATCAAGATGGCAGCTTTAATCATCCTGGCCA